GTGAGGGCCACATATGTGAAACTCAGAACTGTTCCTTCAGTGCAGCCCTATATATGTCACATTTCTGCAAAGTCTTCCTCTTTTTATTGGGTTTATGGCCCATTAAGTTGAAAGTGTGATGGAGAGTCACACAACAGCCAGCAATAACCTGGAGGAAGCAGCCTGCTTCATCACTGCTTCATGCAATTAGGGAATGGCTCACAGGTCATTTGCTATTAATTGACCCCATTAGAAGCCTGAGCACTTTTTGATTGCTGTTATACAACGTAATAGCAGGGGACTTGAATCAATGACCCTGCCAGGATCTTTCTATACGACTATACTATTCCATCTCTTGAATGGATATATTTTATGGGGCCATTTCCATAGGGGCTCTGTGGGGCTGTGCCAGGAGTTCAACACTCCAGTTTTCACCCAGCAACAGTCAGTGAACACTCAGTGACAGTTCTGCTGCAAGAGGGACTCTCAGAGTTGCCCCAAGCAAAGCCCAAGCAGCAGTGTCCTCGTCCATCCCTTTTCTGCTGGGGATGAGTGCACAGAGCCATTCTGAAGCTCGCATTGCAGAGCCAGGGAATGCCTACAAGAGATGCTGCATGTCTGTAATTAGTTTTCCCTGTTGTTTCACTCAAGAAGGCTGGGCAATGTGTCTGAACAACGCTGTTCTCCTGGTTCCCCAATGCCCTCAGCCAAGCCCCTGGGGTATGCTGACAGCACTGCCACGGGCAGGGAGAAGGCAGAGCTGCCTACCTCAGCAGGGTTGAGCCCAGCTTCTGCAAAGCTTGTCTTTGCCTCGATTTCAAGGCCAACCTGTGAGATGGGATGCAAAAGAAAATGCTGTTTGATTAAGAATGTGCAGGCTGGAGTAGTGCCTGGAGAACAGAGAGAAGTGTGTGTTTGTTCCTCTTCAGCAGTTTCTCCTTTGACCTTTGTTTTTCTCCATCTCTGTGCTATCTTTCCTTCTTCTCTCTCTCTCTTGAGCATGAAAGCAATCATTTTAAAAAGGAGAGAATGAATCATGTTCGATTTGGGTAGGTTTTTTTCTGCAATAAGCTGAAGAAGAGCCTTTGTTGAGTTGCTGCTGGCAGCATCCAGGCTGCTTACAGCAGTGTGGGCACAGATGAGGGCATGTGAATGTCTGCACAGCTGAGGAAGGACAACCTATGCTCTGTGCAGCTCACAGCGAGCAGCCTTCCTTCCTTCTGTGGGCGCCAGCTCTGCAGGCTGGCTAGTTTATTAATGTGGGAGCCAAGACGTTGGCTGTGCTTGCAGCAGGGTCTAGCATATTTGCAGAAAGATGCCAGCAGTATCTTTGGGTGTACACAAGGTCTGATAGCCGTGTTACCGCGAAGATGCTCTTTGAATTCACCAGCTCTTACACCCTGAGCATTTCCACCTCTCAGAGGCTCAGCACCCTTCTGCGTTCCCCCCAAGCCAGGAATTAGCCCTGCATCCCTCCACGATGCTCAGCACCTAACACTAGGTATTTGTTCCATTCGCAAAGCGCGCTTCCAGCCTTTAGCATTTAAGTCCCCGTGCAGCGAGCACAGCCGTTCCCAAATCTTTGCAGGACGGCTGCGAGCCGCGCACCGGGGCTCGGGGCTGCCCCTAGCGGGGTGCAGCCTTCCTCTGCTGAGGAAAAGGGGCTGTTCTGCTTCGGGCACCTCCGGCGGCTGGAGAGGCGGAGGCTGCAGCTTTCAAGTAGGAAAAGGAGAATAAAAAGGAGGCAGGGGGAGAGGCGGGGAGGTTGCCGGACAGCGGGCGGGGCTGGAGAGGAAGGGGAGGCAGCGACGATGCGGAGCTGCGGCTGAGCCCCTCCTGACCAAGAAGGAGAGCATCAGCTCGGCTGGACGGAGGGAAGCGGGGAGATGCGGCCGGGCTCGTACGGCACCTGCTGAGTTCTCATCCAGCAAAGTTTCCACAGCTCTGGAGGAAGAGAAGGAAGGCGGTCATGGGAGAACCTGCCGTCCTCATCCCGGCCTCGCCGGGACCCGCTGTGGCTTGGGCGCTGCTATCTGAAGGCTGAATGGGACCCCCGGGGCACCTCCAGGTAACCATCCCCGCTCCCATGCACCGCGGCTCCCCGTGGCACCGCAAGGGGACTTTCCCGAGCGCTTTGCCCAGGGAAAAGTCCCGTGCTTCCCCTAAAGGCTTTCCCTGCTTGTGTTCGTGAGTCTGTGTGTGCGCAGGAGGCGGCTGGAGCTGTCTGACTGGGATTTCTGTGTGCTGCTCACTGCCGCTCCTTCGCTGCCCCTTTGGAAAGGGGACTCCTTGGGGGTCTGTTCTGCTGTGGTGGAAAAATGACAGCTCCATCCCCTTTGCTGCAGCTAAGAGGGAACAGAGCGTGCTGCTGGTGTGGCTTTAAGCGATAGCCATAAAATGCTGCCTGGATATGTCAGAATGTCCTCAGAGCTCTAGGAACTCGCAGAGCTATGAATAAAACCTTCTGTTTGGCCCCATGAGGATATAGGGAGGGATGAATATTCCCCTAGAAGGAATCACTCTATCCTCTGGATTTCTGGTTTTGATATGCAGCTTTTTTTTTTTTTTCTCACATTTTTTCCTTTTTCTATTTCACTCTCCCCAATAGCAACGCTTGCCACCAATGCATTTCAAGCTGAGATGTTGTTTGGAGTAGAACCCCAGACTCTAACTGATAAGAAAGAACTTGTTTCACACAGTTCCCAAAAGAACTTTTCCTAAAGGAAAAGAAGTTCATCAGTCTGGACTGGATAATGGAAAGAAAGCTGGTTATTTTGGAGCTGGTTGATTTGGCTGAAGTGGAAGCAGGAAGGTAAAAGCTGCCAGATTTCCTTTGGAAAGATAACAGTGAGGGCAAATCCCCATCAGTGGGTTCCTGTGACTGTATAGGGGAGGGGAAGGGGGTTGACACCCTCTCCCCACGGTATCAAATCTGAGCTCTAGAAGGTGACAGAACTCAACCACAGCCATCAACACACATTGCCAGGCAGAGGGACTGAGCTGTTAAGGGCTGTGCTGGTTGCTATCAACGCAGCCTTGATAGCAGCCAGAAACCAGCACGATCCCTTTGGAGTAGCTACAGGTGACAGCTGCTGTGTGATGGGTGTTTTTTACCCATCCCATTAGAGCCCAGACAGCTCACCTGGGATCAGGGATATTCTCACAGGAGCCAGGAGAAAACAAGCCCTGTGGAGTGAACCTGTGATATGATTTGAAGTTTGTGGATGCTTAACCAGAAGCTTCCTGGCAAAAGGGGCAGAAATGGTGCTCTAGCTCACAGCCATGTGCTGAGGTTCCCAAGCAGAATAAAAGGATGCTGCTGGAGAAGCACAGACGTTGTTAGCCTGTCTGATGAAGAAAATGCCTTTCCACTCTCACACATCTTCACTTCTGAAACGTTTTTGCCTGCAGACTCTTCCCCAGATGACGAGGAGCTGCATCCTTCAGTGTGCCCATCCTTGTCAGCTCCAGGTGATGTCTCATTGAGCAGGAACTTCACTGGAAGTTCACTGCTGCACTTCTATTCAGCTCTAAATGAAAGCCTGAGCAGAGGCAAAGAGATATGGCACTGGAGACAGCAGCAGAGAGCTCTGCCTCAGCTGGAGGTATAGGAAAATGTGATTCCCTGGGAAATGTGCTGGAAATGGCTGGCTGATCCCACTGGCATGTTGGTGGGTAAGGGTTTCTATTTCCTTATTAATTTTTCTGTTATTGGTGATTTGTTTGTTTGTATTTTAATGTAGTGGCTGCAGAGTGTTAATAACACAACAGTGATTTTTGGGCTCTTGCATTAGAAACCTGTGTGGTATCAGTTTTCTCTCTGCAGTCTTTATGAATGTGACTTGACAGCAAAGGAGAAAAGAAGCTAAGGAACCAGGCAGGGAAGTATGAGAGAGATGAGAGAGCAGACTGTTGTTGTTTGCAATCAGGCTGGGATGAGAATTGCCCTCCTGCCTGTAAAATCAAAGGCATCACCAGCAAACTGCTGGCAATTTGGCTTCTGAAAATTTGGCTTCCCAGCAAAGTTCAAGAACTCAAAGCCAGCTCCCATCATGTCCAATAACCTCTTCCATGGACAAGCTGCTGTTGGCAGTAAAGGACGTGTATTCCTGCCTTTGGTACTAGGAAAGGGTAGATTCCTATGCAAGCTCTCCTCTAACTTAACTTTCTCATTTGCTATGATCCTGCATCCAGGAGATGGTGGTGCTCCTGCAGGAAAACTGCATCAGTTTGGTTTTACACTTGCTGAAGCAGACTACCTGACCCCTTCTGCATCATCTCCTGTGATCACACCCAATGCAGTGTGATGCAAGGTAGAAAAAGAAGTCTAGCAGACTAAGCCCCACAAATGCCCAAGGGACACAAATTCATTTTTCCACCTCATCGTTGACTTCTGTGACTGTAGATGGAGTTAGTCTTGCTACACATTTAACCATTAACTCAGGTTCTCTTAAATAGTTGACTCAACCTGTGTATGCTGGGCAATTTGGAATGTCCTGAATTGCCTTCTGGTGCTTTTTATTCTCCACTAGCCAGAATACTGGCCTGAATACAGGACAACTGAATGATGGAGCAACAACCCCGCTTCTTGTTGTAACTTGGTACCCTTATCCTCCTCTAGTATATTGCATTCACATTGTGGTGAGGGCTGTTCCCAGCAGTACTGGGGTTTGCTATTTTGGACAGGTGTTGTCTGGGTGATGATGAGCAGTGTGAGGCCGAGCCAAAGCCCTGGCTGTGGGCCATCATGTGCTTGGGTTCAGTTGGACTTCATCCACATGGATGGCTAAAGCCATTGGGTCAGGGAGAGCACAGATTTGAGAGCAGGTTTGGATTTGTACTTTGTTGTTGCTACCAGCAAACATGGAGAAGAGCTGGTGGTGGAAAGTTGCTCTTGGTTTCTTGCTGTAACAGTTGCATGCTCTTTTTCTTCCTCTGTAGTGATTTCAAAGGAGCAGAAGACCAGAAATAGCCTTCTCAGCATTGTATATACCCTGTAAGGACTGAAGTGACCTCCAAGACTCACCTCAACATGTTCAGTGAAAAGAGCAGCGCCTCTTTGACCCAGAAACCCAGCCAGAAAAAGACACGACCTCAGGGCCTCCCCTCCCCTGCCCTCTGCTGTGCGTGTGGACTTTGCATCATGCTGGCAGGGATCAACATCACCCTAGTGGGAGCATTTGCATTTGGGACCTTCCTCCCCATGAACAACCTTCCCATCATCATCGGACCCATCTTGCTGGTCGTGGCCTTCACGTTCTTTGGTGCCTGCTGCATCTGCAGCCGGAGGCCGCCTGCTCACGGGGCCAGAAAATCCAAACCGGGTTCCAACATTGGTCTCATCAAACCTGGCAACACTGCCTTTGAAATTGAAACTAGCGAGCACACGGTGCAGGATACCACTGCTGTTCAGCTGAGCCCCACAAATTCCCCCATCTCCTCAAAAAAGTCCACACCAGTCCATGAGAACACGAAGACTTGCAAACTCTTCACCATGGAAGGCAATGGGCCAGTGGCCAAGTACACACCAGGAGGAGAGGCAATACAGCTCAACCTGCCCAGGGACCTGGCCACATCCTAAACCCAGGCAGAGTTTTGTTAGCAGCCAGACAGATGCTGTGATGGGTGGGCTGGAATCTGAGGTGTACCATCGGTCAGAGGTGGGGGGGGGGAAGTGCTTGTGACAAGCCAGCAGGCAGACAGGCTTCTCTGAATCAATTGAAGGAAGAGGGATGAAACAGCACGACAATTCCAGATTTTTGCTGATAGGAACATGCCCATTAGTTGGCTTTGTGAAGAAAACTGCTAATGATGTCACTGTGAAAGGGTGAACTGGACAGTTCCTGGGAAAGACTGGCTTTTGGGAGAAGAGATTGGAAGACGAGGATGAAATAATTCCTCTAGCAGGAGGCAGCAATGTGATGGCTTCATGGGGCTGACAAATGACAGCTCTTTCTCTTCAAAAGTGAAGCAATTCTTGGATATAATAGAAGCAGGAATGCAGTAAATTACGTCTTGCTGCCACTCAGTCACAAGAAGATTTCAACATTTTAGGGCCAGGCTTTGTGGCAGTAGGGACATAATGTATGTGTTTACTATTGAAAAAGCAGTGTGAAGCAGTCTCCCTTCCTTTGGAAACCCTTGCCCCATTTTTCCTTCGTTTGGGTGACTTTACCATCTGTTATAAGAGACAATCATAGGGATCACTGCTAGAATTGGCATTTTCCTTGTTTTGATCATGCTGGATTGCAGTGATGCTGCTCAATGCAGGGTGTGTCTTAGAAGGTCAGCATTGCTGAATCCTTGGTAACAAACTCCTGGGGTAAATGGAGACTGGGAGGGCCCTGCAAATGAAATCTTTGGGCAATGCTTGTGCCCTGAGTGCTGGGGGAGGCATCTTCCTTCCCATCATTTTATGGAAGTTGGGCCTGATGGGACACATCAGCTTGGAGCAGGGGACAAATTGCTGAATGGGTTTTAGTAGAGCTGTGCAGGAAGATGCTGATGGTATCTTCTTTCCTGAGGAGGCTGCCAGATCTATTGCATGCAGTGAGCAACCAGGTATGGAACTCCTTGCTGCAGGAAACTGGCTGCTAAAGGTGCTCCTGGGCTTGCAGGTCAATGGGATGAGTTTGCAGAAGAGAATTCTTGAAGAGCCACTCAACACAAAGGTACCTTCAGCTCAGAAAGACTCTGAGCTGTGCACAGGGTGCTGATTTTTGCTGTTGTATTCTTCCCTGGTAAGAAGTGCTGTGCTAATGGACCTCATTTTTTCATGAAAATTCATGTATTTGATGAGATGTGGGACCAGTGAGGAAGGAGACCTCTGGGAGGCAGCAGCAGGAGGATGGATTTTTGAGTGTATCTTGTCTAAAGTGCTCCCCAGCCTCCAACGCATAATTGCTTAGAGCTTCTTGAGCTGGAAGTGATGCCTTGTATTAAGCAGCTCTGAATGGATTCCTTCTGTCAAATTGTATCATCCACATTCCTGCAGCATGGAGTTGCACAACTTAATGAGAGGCTGTGCAGATCCCTGTTCTTGTTTTATTTTCAGCATGCACCCTACATCTCCCCCTTGAATCCCCAAGCTGCTGGATTAGAAGGGCCAGCAAACAGCTTATGCCTCCCCAATGCACTGAGATTTTTCTAGGGTCTTTATCTCATTTCTTTCAGTCATCTGTTTCCTATGGTACTTCACATCACTTGCTGTTAGAGGGAGGCAATGCTTCTCAGCTTGACCAGCAACTCATTCAGCCCAGAATCAGTGCTTTGCTAGGCTGAGCCTGAGGCCAGCACGTAGGTATATGAGGGGCTGAAGGGAAGATGCTAGAGGAGGAGGGAAGGCTGTGATGTGCCCAAGGTTCTCCTGGGCCACCAACAGACCTGCAAAGCAGACAGCAAGGGCTGTATGACTGTTGTGTTGGGATAAGTGATGTCAAATGGGGATCACAGAGAAGCTGTGGTGAAGTCCGAGCATGGGGTCCTGGTTGCTCTGGGGAGCCATCATGGAGCTGATGGCTGAATTTCATTCTTCTATGAGAGGGAAGCGAGAACTCTGGCTTGAATGCTCCAACAGTTTGCTGCTATTGTCAGTTTCCTCTACATCATGGAATTACACTTGTGATTTTTAGCCTACTGGCTAGGAGGAGCAGAAGCAGAAGGATTAATGCCTGGGAAGATGTAGGCTCAAATCTATGCTTTAGCCTCCAGGTCCTGGGCAAATCACTTAATTGCTGTGCGCCCAGCTGCCTGCCTGTGCAGGAGGGAAAACAGCTGGTCCCTGCTCTCTAGAGCTGCTATACTGATGAGCAACATTGGGAAGCAGGAGGGTTGGTATCAGCACACCTGAATCTGCAGACTGCTTGAAGGTGGAGGGGTCTGCCTGGTCTGATCTCTGCATTATCTCCTTCAGAGCTTGTCTTCACAGGTGATCTCTGTTTCCAGCACTGACTTCTGTTTGGCTTGTGGGAACTGTAGCACTGAACTAAAGGCTCCAGTGGTTTTCACCTGCTGGTAATTGCTATAGGAAATAAGCAGAATAACTTGTTGGTCCAGGTTTGGCTCCTAGGTTGCAGGCTCACTAGCATTTTGGAATAGCATACAAAGCTCTGAAGGTCCTTCAGAAGCATTGCCCACATGAGTACAGTTACTGCAGTGCTTTTTCTTTGAGCACATGAAGGCAAAAAGTAGTAAAATCAAGTGGTAACCATGCAAATTCCTCTTCTACTCATTGGAGGCTTGAAAACTGAGTCTGGAGTATGTGTACTGGAATTGCTCCTTATTGTGGTTGCACCATGAAATGCTATCAGTGATGGGTAAAACAATGGCAGATCCCACACAGGAACACCTGTTGCTTTCCAAAGCATGGAAGCTCTGCTTTTTCCTTTTGATATCTTTTTGGGATTTCCATGTCTGTTTGTAGCTGTGATTGCCTGTACTGACGTCATTGTGAATTTGTGCCTCCTTCTTGTGCAGCAGGAGACAGGGAGGCTTTCTTGTGCTCCAAGTCACAGTTTCTATCGTGAGAGTTTTTTAAAAAGGAGAATACTATTTATATATGTGCAATGTGGATTTTGGAAAAGACAGACTCATTAAAGTAATTGCGCTCATTAAGCATTTGGCTTGCCTGCTCTTCCAGTCTGTTGGTACCTTATGGGTGTGCCCTAAGGTAGCTTCTTTGTTTTTATTGTGCGCTATGCTGTCCTGCTTGATTCTCCAGCCTGGGCAACTGACTTCAAGAGAAGGGCATCCTTAGGAGTTCATGTTACCTCTGCTCTGAATTCAGCTTCTCTGGCAATGGGGTAGAATGGAAAAGAGCTCTAAGATCACCCAGTCCAACCCATCCCCACCATGGCCACTGACCACGTCCCTCAGTGTTGCATCCTCACGGTTCTTGAACAGCTCCAGGGATCCTTTCCAGGCCTGATTATAAATGTCTAAGTTGTGTTATGGGGAAGGGTTAGAAAGTGTGTGTGTGTGTGTGTGTGTGTGTGTGTGTGTGTGTGTGTAGGATGGGTGCTGTCAGCTTTCTGTGCTCCTTCTGGGCTTAACCCAGCATGGTGTCCTGGAGATGAGGCAGTGAGGGACAGCATGTGGGAATAAAGAAGATTTGAGAGTTTTCCAAATTCTCCCTGTGAAAGGACTTCTCTCCCATGTGCAGCCAAGTGATTTGACATGAGAAGAAATCTCTCTGCTCCAGGCAGGCTGGCTGGTTAAAGACCTGGGAAATGAGCTGGCTAAGAAGGCTCCACTGACAATGTGTGTAAAATGCAAACCTGCTCCCTTCAGAAGGGATTTCTTTTGACCTTTAGAAAGAACTTCCTGTAAGGGTTTTTCTTTTCTTAAAGTAGCACCAGAGAGAAAAGCACAGAGAAGGGTTTGCTGATCATCTGCTGGTTCTCTCCAGGACCTGCAGCATTCTTGCCACCTCCCTATTGCCAACCCCAACCCTGAGCTTCTCTCTCTACCTGGAAGTATAACCTAGAACCATTACATAGACTACAATTAAGCTTTTCTAGTTCTGAGCCCAAATTTATTTGTATTTTATTTTTTGTTATCCTTGTGCCAGCAATGTCTTTTGTCCAGGATACCTCCAGGAAATGCCTGTCTCTGAAACATTTTAGATCTGTTGCAGATTTCCTGGAGCCTCTCTGTGATGGGGCTGAGCTGACTGTCTCCCTCCATCCTTCTCTCCTGTGGGCCGTCTGCTGTTCCCTGAAGCCCTCACCTCCCTCTGTGGCCCATTGCTCCATAAGTACTCATGAATTGCCATTCTTTTGCAGAACTCACAGTGAAATTACAAACCTTCCGGGATTAGAAATGGGGCTCTTTTTTTTTTCCCCTAGGCAAATCCAAGAAGAAAAAAAAATAATCCATGAAAATGCAGAAATATCCATGAAAATGTGAAATTTGTATTTGCAAATTCCCTCTTAAAAGAAATATATAACTGAGCTTTTATGTCATTAGTCTCCAGTGCATCCACAGCAAATGTGCTCAGCACAGAGGCTGAAAGGCTGCTTCTCTCCAACTGCCAGATGCTGTCAGTGTGCATCAGAGTGATCCTCAAACATGGAACGTGGGTGACTGTCCAGCTTATGGCACGCTGTGCCCTTCCGGGGAGATCTCTCCTGCTGAAATCCTTGTCTGGATTTCTAGTATTCACTTGCTGTGCCATAGAACACAGCTATGCGTGCAGCTCCCAGGCCTGATGGATATTTGATGGAGACTGTCTCCGAGATATTGTGTAAGAACAGAGGTGGGTTCCTTCTGAAGGAGCAGCGTGCTCACTGGATGACCCTGCTCTCTTCGTTTTCCTGAGAAATGATGATTTCTGTAGCATAACACTGAATTTGGCTCTGGGCCATGCATACTTTCATGCAGACTCATTAAAACCATGTCTTTGATTCTTAAACTCACATTTGTTCTAGAGAGGAGCTGTCTGCTGGGAGAATTAATTCCTTTGACTCCATTCATCTCCCTGGAAGTGCTGCTGTTGTCTTTGATTTCATGGCTCGGGTGATTACTCTTTTCCAATGCCCAAGAATAACAAGATTAGGGAATTCGTGGCAATGAAGGCACAGAAGGGGCATTGATTTAAAAAATATATATAAATAAAAA